AAGCTCGTTTTTTCGAGGCCAATGGCTCGTTGAAGCCGAGTTACCAGGGGAAGCGGGAGAAGCACAATGGGCTCCTTGATGATGAAGGTTTTTGTCTAGGTGTTCAGCGATGGCTGAGAACACTTGAGGTTGGGACAGTAAGTGAAGTTTCAAGTTCTATTCAAATGCTGACATTGTTCTCAGGTGAATCCAAAGCTCTTGCAAAAACATGTCAACGAGACCCTCCTCCCATCACTTGCTCTCAAGAAAAAGATTATAACAATTCGGCAATGCCAGCGATGGCTTTGGAAGCTTGGCTATCGTCGTAAATGTCACACCCAAGGAGTCTATTGGGATGGCCATGAACGGAAGGATGTCAAGCAGCGATGTAAAGCATATCTTGCAGAGTTTGAGGCATTCGAGCCCTTCCGTTCTGAATTTGCAGAGCCTGATATGGTGGAAGTGATGCCAGAACTTGGAGAAAATGATATTGAGCATATCGTCATTGTCCATGATGAATCAACCATAAATGATTATGATGGAAATCATTACTGGCTCAAGGAAGGCGAACAAGTGCTCAAGAAGAAGGGTCGTGGCCGTCTCATCATGATCTCTGCTTTCTTATGTGAGCGCTATGGCCTCCTCGCACTCACGGATGAGATGGTTGCCGAAAATGAGAAGATGGCAGCAGAACTTCGTCTTGCCATCACGGACTCGACAACAGTTATATATCCAGATAATAAAGCCGGAGGGGATGCCTATTGGAACATGCAACAGATGATTGAACAAGTGAGTCTGTTATTTATGCAGCTGAATTGATTTCAACAAGTTTTGTCAACAATAGCTTATAAAAGCGATCCTGATAGCCCGTCGCCTCTTTCCCAAAGCCATCATCCACTGGGTCTTTGATAACTCTTCAGCCCATGGCAGCCTTGCCAAAAATGCGCTCACAGCAACAAAGATGAATGTCAATCCTGGTGGAAAGGTTCCTGAAATGCGCGACACTATCATTCCCACTGATAATCCCCATGGCCAGGGAGGCAAGGTTCAGAAAATGATTTTTGATGCAAAGCTGCCTGATGATCACCCATACAAACAATTTGAGGGCCTTCCAAAAGGCATGAAGATTATTTTGGCTGAACGGGGATACACAAAGGATGGAAAGGGCAAAACTTTGATTGGGGATTGTCAAGCATGCAAGGTTGCAAAGTCTCGCAAACCCCATCTCCATGGCGCATCCACAGATGAGGAGGGTGACATGTTTGGTGATGATGGAAATGACACTGAGGAAGAATTAGATGAGCGCCCAGTTGACTGCTGCATGTGAAGGCTGCTCTCGCTGCAACCAGATTTTGCAGGCGAGAAATCTCAGCTAGAACTTGTGAGTGCTTCAGTAACCCTTGATTTTGTTTTCTAATTTTGTGATAGCTAATCGAAGCAGCACCAGGCATGGTGTGCCATTTCCTGCCAAAGTTTCACCCGGAAATGAACCCTATTGAATATTTTTGGGCTTGGATCAAAAGGTGGTTCCGAGAAAGATCAAATGGAAATTGGCAGAAGGCCAAAGATCTGGCTGCAGAGGCCCTTCAACTCTGTCCACTTCCTACAATTCGCCGATTCTTCCGGCGTGCAAATCGCTATGCTTGCGTCTATCGGCTGGGTGCCACAGGACCAATTGCTGAGTTTGCAGTCAAGCGGTATCGTTCCCACCGTGGAGTTCAAGCGAGGGACTTGGATATTGCCAGGGCTGAGTGGGAGAAACGAAAGGCGAAGGTTCACACTTATAAAAAGACGGCCATGGCGGCGAGTTAGGTACACTAACTTTGAAAAATTTTGTCCAAAATTTCGCCATTTTTAACCCTAGGCTAGGGTTACCCCAATTTTTCTGAAATGGAAATTTTGAAGGTAAACCAACCCTATGTTCCTGCTAAATCTCGAAGATCTAAGGGTTTTTGCTCAAAATTGCAATTTGACATGAAGCAATGTCCGCAACTATAGGCAAACTTGAGGCAAATACGAGGCACGTCATGCGTATTTTTGGAACTGCCGCCAAATACGACAACATAGTACTGTGCATTTACTGGGATATAACCCGTCGAGGTTAAAGGTTGAGGGAGACAAGAGAAGATATAATACTAGGAATAAGTTTTCCTGTTGGTATTTGGGCGTAGGCTGCGAATCCACGTCAGACGAAACACCACACAAATTGTCTAATAAACTACTTACATGCAGCATCCGCAACCAAGTCCGAACTCAAAAGAGTGTATCGCCGCAAGCATCCTACAGGCTCGCCAGGATCAGATTGCGAAGGTAATGGATCGAGCTGCAAGCAGCCGCCCTCAGGCTCGAATACACCTCCGAGCCTAGGAGTCCGGCTATGCCCCGAGCAAGAACTCCGATCTTCGAGCTCGAGCTCAAGCACACCCACAAGAGCAGCAAGCGTCCGCCTTCGACCTCCACGATCCTATCCTCGAGCTCGAGCACATCGAAGCATCCCCGGCTTACTCCCGGCGATACACGCACCAACAGGCATCTGTACGCACGGGCACCTCGAGCATCGTGCCCTCTTCCACTCAATCCGCCGTCCGCCACGTTGTCCGCGAGTCCGCCTATGGCGCCCACTCGCACACCGTCTTCGCGCGCGCGCAAGCACGCAAGCAAGCAGCACCGTGCCGTCGTTGAGCAAGCACCCGCGCCGCACACCCACGCACTCGACCGTCTCCACCCTCCGTACTGTACATACACCCCCTTTGAGCGGCAACTGCGACGCGGCCCATGTAGCCCCGGCTCTCACGCCCTAGCACGCCGCACACCGCGCGCGCGCGAGCCCCAGACACCACACAGCGCGCGTCCTCGAGCTCGAGGGCCTGTGCAAATGTACTCACCCACTGCAAACACGCAAACCGCGCACCCTCACTCTCCGGCCTGTACACCCCGTCTCCGCGCACGCCCCCCTTCCTGGCGACGCGGGCACCTCCTCCTCAAGTCACAAACACCTCATCCCCGAGTCGCAAACACCAGCGGCGCCTTCGAGCTCGAGCCCGTCACGCACGGGCCATACAAGCTCCCGCTGTACGCACATCGCAGCTTCGAGCGCGAACATGCCACCACACCCAGCCGTACACGCGCACCTCGCAAGCGCGCACTACTCGCCGTCTGCGCCGCGTATCGCCCATACCGCGAGCCGCGAGTCGCCCGCCGCGCAGTGCATGCAGCTCCGGCGCGGGGAGCGCCTGCCATCTCCGCCACGTATCGCGCGCCGAGCCCGCCGTCACGCCACCCGCGCCGTCTGCGCCACATATCGACCCTACCGCGAGCCGCGAGCCGCCCGCCGCGCAGTGCATGCGGCTCCGACGTGGGAAGCGCCTGCCATCGCCACGTGTCGCGCGCCGAGCCCGCCGTCACGCCCTCCGCGCCCCCCGCGCGCCGTCTGCGCTGCGTATCGACCATATCGCCACTCAGCGCATGCGGCTCCGACGCGGGAAGTGGGAATCGGAGGGGAATGGGACGGGGCGCAGATGGAAGATGAATGATGGGAGGGAAGGAGTACAAGGACACAGAGATGAAGGAGATGGGATGGGGGTGAATGGAGGGCAGATGAGACAGAGGCGCAGGATAGGATGAGGGAAAGGATGGGGATGAATAGGACAGAGAAGTACGGGGGGCGGAACGGGAGCTGTAGACGCGGGGAAGCAGGATGTGATGCGGAAGGGAGGATAGGGAAGCCGCGGGCGGCGCGAGTGTGAGATGAAGGATAAAGGAGGAGGGGGACGTGTGTATGGACGAGCGGGGGCACGCGCTTGAATACAAGATGGAGGGCATCATGACGAGCGGGGCGAGAAGGAGAGGAAGGTACGGAAGCCGGAGAAGAAAATGGATGAGGGGTCTGGAAGAGAAAGATGGAGGAGGAGCGAACAGTGAGCGACGGAGGGAGTGTGCACATGGATGAGCAGCGCGAGGAGGAAGGGAGTATGGGACATGGGTGGAGGAACAGATGGACAGAAGTTCAAGTGGGACACACGAGGCAAGAGGTAGGACGGAGGACGCGGAGAGATGCATTCGGTAGCCATCGATGAGAGATAGATGCGTGCGAGGGAGGGAGGGACGAGAGTGGGACAGGAAAGGATGCGGTTAAGTAGGAAGAACCGATGCGGGTAGGAAGGTACACGAGACGATGGCGAGTGGCAGGTAGAGGGAGGAGGAGGAGCGAAGACACGCAGCCGTGCACTGCGCGAGCTGATCCTGCGTCGCCACGTGGCAGAGGATGTGCGCGGAGAGGTCTCTATCTCTGCATTTGCGTGTGGGCAGCATAACGGCTGAAAGTGGCATGACTGCGGGTGTAGCGCACGGAAATGGGAAGGATGAGAGACCGTCTGCTGTTGGTCTGCTGCATGTAGAGATCTAGAATATCCGAGAATTGTGATCCAAGTCAAGTCCCCCAGACCCAGGGAACGAAAACGAAAACGATAAAGCGTCAAAGGGATTCAGTTCGTCGACACAGTACAGACGGGCAAAGGCGGAGAAGATATCAGTATGTGGCGGTGCGCTGCTTGCCACCGGCGTCCAGTGCAAACAGGGATACACACATGCAAGGTTCGACGTTGAACTTCAACCTCTGCCAGCAGGATTCTCAATCCAGGACAGCCGTATTAAACTCACCCCAGTAAGCCTCAATACGCCCGGCACAAAAAATTAAACGAATAATTGACAAAAAGTGCACGTATTCCTGCTCACGGCAATTGGGACGCAGGGAGTCGAACCCCGGCTTGCTGCCGTTCAACTCGTATGTATTATCTCACGTATCGAATCCAGCGGTGCGCCGTACACCACGTCCCATTATTTCAGTTGCTCCCTCGTCGGCAATCTACCATAATTTCCAGGGGTACAATCAGCATAGACGGGATTGAGAGTAATTCAACCATCTATCAGAGGTTACAAATAGTTGCTCCTTCTTCAAATTTAGGTCATTCAGAATCTTGGGCGTATCGAATTCCTCTCAGCCAAAAAAAAAGATATGGGATGTGGGACTCGGGGAATCGAACCCCGACCTGCTGCTTAACTTCGTTATCAAATGCCAACTGAATGCAGCGGTGCACCGTACACCACGTCCCATTTATTCCGCTTGTTCGTTCCCTGGATTTATACGCGGAATTTAGGAACTTGCGGGCGAGGAAGAATCAAGACCATAACGGCTAGAAAACCAGAATCCATGGCGAAATATTAATAAGGACCGGCGCTTTCGCTCGCTTATCATATTTTTCATAGGACCTTCTCAAGGACCAACTCCAGTCCAGGAAAAAAAAAACTTCAAGAAATATGTGGGCCGCGGGTCGAACCCCGGCTTGCTGCTGGTCAATAAGCACCACCAAATTTTTATTATTGAATGCAACGATGCACCGTACGCCACGTCCCATTTATTCCCCTCGTTCGTTGTCTGCATACCAGCGCAGTTCAAGAACAGCAGCGAGGAAATAAATCTTTATCAGGCAAAAGAAAACCCTTTGGCGGAGCATTTCAAGTGGGACGCGGGGAGTCGAACCCCGGCCTGCTGCTTCACAGGTGCCCATTTCGGAATTGAATACAGCGGTGCACCATACACCACGTCCCATTATTTTCCCTTGTTCGCGAGTCGAGAATGTAGGAAGATTTCCGGGGGTACAATCACCAGAGTGAGGGTAGTTCATTCAAGTTCAGCCAGACGTCTCAGGGTAGATCGATTGAAATCTTGAATAAAAATATAACAGAGAGACCGAATTGGGACGCGGGGAGTCGAACCCCGACTTGCTGCTGTTCAATACTCATTAGGGCATATTGAGTGTAGCGGTGCACCGTACACCACGTCCCTTTCCTCATCTATATCTCAACCCAAATATATGCAAGACTTCTGAAGGAGTTGGCGTCACAAACACTCGCTCGCAGTTCAACCATTCATATAATGCAATAAGAATTGTTCAGAATTCAGACCCAATCGTGAGCGCGCAAAAAATTGATCAGAGCTGAACTGTGCGTGGTTGGGGGGTTTGATTTTCTTCCTTTGATTGCGTGGCCCGCAAATAAAAATAAAAACAGAAGTGATCAACGAAAGTGGGAGGCGGGGAGGCGAACCCCGACCTGCTGCAAATCATTGCTTGATATTCAACCATCGAATGTAGCCATTTACTGTATGGTAGAATTCGCATCTGCGACGGTACAACACACACCCTGTCCCTCTCATTCCGAACCTCTTTGAGAACTTCAATTCATTAATTAATTGTAGGATGCGAGTTGGCCGATCGACCTTGAAGTCGCATTCACAGGGCAGCACGCTCTTGGTCGTGTATTCGAAGGCAAGGCCCGGCCGTGGTTCAAATTGTTTGTGCGGCGCCGCGCCTGATACGGATCATTGCGGATAAGAACCTTCTACCTCTCCGCACCACTCTGAGTTCAACGCAAATGCGTCCATTATTTAATACGCTGCTCCGCCAACCCTTGAGCTAACGTGTTTTATGCTTCTATTTGTTGCGCTGGGAACTCATATAGTGCACGATCGACTACAAGCGTTCCATTTGAAAGTGGCATTTCATGAATTCCACAGCGACCGGGGTATCAAATTAGAAAAATCCCTGCTCATTACAGGTAAAGTGGACGCCAGGCAGGATAGTCGCTATTTCCAGCAGGAGCCGGAGGTGACATCCAAATCATCAAATCACTTTCAAGAAGTTGATACACCTGCGCAAACGACAAGCGAGACGGGATGGGGTCCAGGCCGGGGTGACTCTATTTTTCGCTTTCCAGCCCACAGCAGCCAAAAATCCTTCGCCCACAGAAAAACCCCTGAGCTCGTTCATCTCGTCTTCATCCGCATTCCTCATCATAATCCGATGTCGACTTAGCTTTTAATTAACGGTTCCGATGAATTGGACGATTGCAGTTCATTGCAGATCGGCGGTTGTTCCCGAAATGATGCATAGATTGCAAACACCGCGACAGAATGATAATGATGCTGCAGAGAACGCCAGCAGAAAGATTAATATGTTTACTCTAATAATTAAATAATCGTACAATGTAAGTACCCGCTGCGAGACCACCCAAACAGTGTGAGTACTGTGAATGCGTCTATGTAAGAAACCTTCCGTAAGTCGAGTCGCGAGTCATATGCAGCGTAGTACCGAATGTATTAGTTGTGTAACGGAACGTGTTCCAGGCCATACGCAGCGGCGGCGTGGAGGGTATTGCGGAAGAAGCTGGTGTCCTCCACGCAGGAGGACCCGGAGGCGGAGACGGTGTAGCCGGGCATGCACTTGCGCACAGCGCAGCCGCCGGCAACGCACGCGACGTCCGCGACCTTGGCGATGGTGGTGCAGTCGGTGCCAGTAGACTCGCCCGTGAGGGAGGAAATGATACCGATGGGGCACCCACCGCCTGCGAAGAGAACAACGAAATCAGAAAAAAAAGGGGCGTACAGGGGAAGATGGAAGCTCACAACTCTCGAGGTCGTTGTGCGTGTCGACGCACTCCCAATCGCGGGGGCCGCCGCCGGAGACGCCGCACGCAGTCCAGCCGGTCTTGCAGCTCTTCTGCACGCGGTGGCCCCAGTAGTCGGCGTCGCGCTTGGTGGGGTTCGAGATGGTGCCGGTGGGGCAGGACTGCTTGCACTGGCCGTTGCAGTCCTTGTACCCGCTCTGGCACGTGTAGCCGCAGAGGGACTGGCGCGAGCATTGGGGGTGCGAGTTCGAGGGGTGCTGGCAGGTCTTCTTGTCCTTGTCTGCGCAGCTATTAATCTAAGGGAATACGTCAGTTGAAAGGCTTGGCAAAGAGAGTAGGAATAATGCGCACTTGGTTCGTGAGGGCGCGAACCACGTTGTCGCTTCCGTACTTGTTGTACGCGGTGCGGAGGGTACCGGTGGAGGCTGCTATAAGTTCCTGCAAGATGCTCGTGCATGTGCAGATTTCCGCTGGAAAGGAGTGTCAGTTAGTCGTGCGAGGATGGAAACTCGGGATCCAGACGTACGCCCAAAATTGTATTTGGAACCGCTGATTACGATGTAGTCAATGCAGCCACAGACATCGTTCGAGATGGTGGGTGTTCCGCGGGGAACGAGGCCTTCGATGACGGAGGCACGAGTGAGAGTGGCGAGAGTAACGAGAGTGAGGGAGGCGATGGAAGCCGACGTGAAACGCATTGTTGGAAAGAATTAATGTGGGCGGGGAGGACGGAGGGGGAAGGAATGAGCGACATGCCTGTCATCTCGCGCTTTTAAAGGAAAGGATACCGCGGCGATCATGGAAGTTAGGAGATTGTTTTAGGAGTGAAGGTGACAATGAATCGGGAGCTCGATATATTTCCGCAGAGCAGTGTAGATCGGTTCCATTATATGGCCGGGACGAAGGATAATCTTTGTTGTCCAGCCCATCGTTCTTCCAGCCTATCGGAAACCAGACTAACTATCGGAAACCAGACTAACAGCGACGTTCAGTACAACAAAATGACTGACAACCATTGGGAACTTTGCTCGCGAAGTTGAAGGGAACGATTGCCTGGCCGATCAACTTCAGGCTGTGCCTAAATCGATCGAATTAGGGGATATTTTTGGAGCAGGTGGTTCATAATTACTTACGCCTGCAATTGAATACAAGTATGATCGGAGGGCGGCATTGGAGCGGATATAATTAGTAGTCCGAGTTTGGGCATCGGTATAGCATTGCGTACATGGAGGTGCTGACGTAGTGTTCAAACCTCCTGAAATCAACGAAAGATTAATGACAATTTGTAGCAATTCAGGCATTTTCAAGTTTAAGAGTCTCCGTACGCAAAGACAAAGATAAACGACATCCGATCCGGACTTGACGCCGTCCTGTACTGAGTCGCGAGCCAGAGTTAATCGGGATCATGAGCCAAAATCCCATAGAGTCCAACGGCACGAAGTACGTGGATGCAGCTTGGAGGAATGGCGAGGTCGCGACGTGGAGGGAAGGAGGAAAATGTGGCGGTGCAGATTGATTGCCGATATCTTCGACTCTGTTCTCCGCACTTCTCCGACAGTCCGACTGGCAAAAACACCGGCCTCAATCCTCTGGAACGCTGTCTGGAAGGATGCGAAATGTTGAAGTCATCTCAAGACTCGTTATCTTTTGAGTTGTCTCTGAGGAAAAAAAGACGGCCTCAGCGGCTCCGCCGAATCCCGATATATGTGAGACCCGGGCAATCGAACCCCGATCTGCTGCTTAACTTCTTCATTGAATGCCAGCTGCAGACGACGGTGCACCGTACACTACGTCCCATTTATTCCCCTCGTCGTTGCCTGCATTTATACCAGCGCAATTCGAGAACAACACCGCGGAATAATTTTTTATCAGGCAAAATAAAACCGATTGATGGAACATTTCAGGTGGGACGTGGGGCATCGAACCCCGGCCTGCTGCTGTTCACTACTTCGGATCGATTGATTGAATGCAGCGCTGCACCATACACCACGTCCCATTTATTCCCCTCGTTCGTTGCCTGCATTTATACCAGCGCAATTCAAGAACAGCAGCGAGGAAATAAATCTTTATGAGGCAAAAGAAAACCGTTTGGCGGAGCATTTCAAGTGGGACGCGGGGAGTCGAACCCCGGCCTGCTGCTTCACAGGTGTCCATCGGAGTTGAATACAGCGGTGCACCATACACCACGTCCCATTATTTTCCCTTGTTCGCAAGTCGAGAAGGTAGGAAGATTTCCGGGGGTACAATCACCAGAGTGAGGGTAGTTCATTCAAGTCCAACCAGACGTCTCAGGGTAGAGAACCTGTGTCCATCGAATTCCCCCCAGCCGAAAGAAAAAAGATTCAAACGGTTGGCAAATGTGGGACGTGGGGAGTCGAACCCCGGCTTGCTGCTGTTCAATCAATCCATGATATTTATTGAATGCAGCGGTGCACCATGCACTACGTCCCATTTCTTACCCTTACTCGTTCCTTCCATATATAACAACGGAATTTAGAAAGTTGCCGGTGAGGAAATAAGAAACCAAAAAAAAAACATGACGCACGGGCACATTTATTGGGACGCGGGGAGTCGAACCCCGACTTGCTGCTGTTCAGTACTCATTATGGTATATTGAATGTAGCAGTGCACCGTACACCACGTCCCTT